CAGATTTAGTGATTCGTGATTCGTGTAAAGAACTCGTTTTTTTTTTTTGTTTTTTTTTTTTGTTTGTTTGTTTGCTCCGATCTATTTGTGCGGAGCAGCACGTGCTGGGAACCGGACCCAGTGTCCCTTACGAATGCACATCATTTGGAACATGAAAACATTCGGTCAAAGACAACGGGCGCTTTTTGACTTCAGTCAGCGATAGAGATGGGTTCACAGCTGAGCAGTGGCAGCAGTGGCAGCAGTGGCAGCAGTGGCAGAAGCTCATGAAAGTCTACGGATCGCCGTTAACTACTGGTGACACCGAACAGATGAACAACTTTCAGCAGCAAACTCTTCGTATGTACATTGGACCTGACCAGATAGATATGGACCAACATCTACCCAAGGTATCAAGTGCATGTAACAATTATGTCCAGCTGTCAACCAGTAGAACACCAGACGAGTTGCCTAAGGGCTGGAAGCCACGTAGAACTATAGATTGTCTGAATCCTGATCAGGTCCAAAGCTGCGTTGATACATGACATATATTTTTTCCAGATTTTTCTGAGACTTAATATATATATATATATATATATATACAGGGTTGCCGGCCTTCGGGACGGGCCGAATGCCCGAACCCGAACGCCTGAACGTTCGGCACCCACTCTCGACGCATTCGGCCGTTCGGCCGAACGTGGACCCCCCCAAAAAAAAAAAAAAAAAAAAAAAAATCTGAAAAAAAAAATGTTACGAAGAAGAATAAACTAAACAACATTTGCCCCAACGTTATATCCAAATTCTTTACCAAATTTGAAATAAAAGTCAAATACTAAAGATAAATAATAATAATGAAAATTATAAAAAATAAACCGAGAATGAAATTATTGAGTGGGCGAGCACGTTTTTGACAGCGCCATTTTTGGCGATTTTTCATTTTTTTTTGGCTGTGACAAATGCCATGAAAATTTATATATGTGTATCTTGCATAATAGAGAATCTACAAATAAAGTTTGAAAAACTAATATTTTTTTTCATGCCCCGAAATAAAGGAAAAACAAAAAGTGAAAAGAGAGAAGAAACAAATTACTGAGTGGGCAAGCAAGTTTTGACACCACCATCTTTGCCGATTTTTCATTTTTCATTTAAGAGGGAGATACCTTACATCACAAAGAACTCGCAAAACCAAATTCAGAAAAAAATAATAATATTTAGGTCCCAAAATATTTTTTTGCAGGGTCTGAAGGTTCGGGCCCCGTACGGGGACCCGAACGCCCGAACGTTCGGGGGTCAGCTTAGGGGCCTCCTACGTTCGGCCTGGCAACCCTGTATATATATATATCTGTTTGTGACGATACATATATATGATGATATATATATATATATCGTCAAATAGAACTGCCCGGTAAACCGTAGGCAGAGAGGGAGAAGAGGACATATCGTGGATGTTTTGCTGGCTTGTGATGGGGTGTGAACCGACAGTCTGTAGGTTTTCCATCTGGTGTGGGTGAGTGATAGTCTACTTTGATTTCGGTTAAGGTAGATTATCATTTACAGTGTAATCAGTGAGGGGATTCTGCACACTGTTGAGGGTTCAGCCTCCTGATGAGTCGGTGAAACTCCGACG